TGGCACTCCATTCTATACAGTGATCTAAGTCAAGATAAGCATTAACATCTATCACAGTAACGTACTATAACAATTTGCCAGAAAACAGAAACGGTTCTGGTAGAGATTTTGCGCTGCGCAAGCAGCTATGAAAGATTTTCAGAGTTACATTAATGTAAAGAACGCTGTAACTAACTGTAATTACACTAATTAGCACTTTACTCTGCGCTTCCTCTCCATGCTCATTATATGGCAATTTGGCAAAGTACGCCTTAGTCATTTATCCTTAATCCTTCGGAACACTCTGAGCTCTACTAATGACAGAGAGCTACATAAGCATAAAAGAGAGTCCAAGCTCAAAGAACGAATTGATTTTTCGATTCAAGGAGTGCAAGATGCTCATGATGAAAACGAGAGTTAGATAGCATAGAAGATAGACATACTAGTCTTGATAAGGTTCAAAATTCTGGGGAAAATGAGCTAGAGCTCCAAAATTCAAGATTCCGAAAGTCAGGCCTAGAGGCCAAAAGGCTATGATGATGAGGGCGCTACGCCAAGTTTGTGTTCAACCGTTCTTGTCCTTTTCATAGAATCATACGAAATATTTGAAACAAAAACATACCGAAATTGTGGCATTGGAAATGCGGAAATATACAACTGCATCAACAGCTACTGTGACGGAGTCCTTAGACAGAATCTGTAATAACACGAAGTGATGTGTAGTATCATCAATCAATACTAATGAATAGAGTAGAAAGTAAAGGTGTTGAAAACTTTTCGGAGGAGTACTCACTTCTTGAGGTGGAACATCAAACGAAACCACCCTCAAATCTATCTTCTTATAAGAATCTATGCACGGCAATACGAAAAAAATTCCTGAAAAGCGCGGTACCATGATGTTGATGCGAATCCACGAGCATAATAACAGACCTGGTCCTTTTGCACCTCCAGGCATAAGCCGACCAAGACGGAAAATAACAGCACGCTCATATTCTTGTACAACCTGAAAAGACTTGTATTGGTACAAGCAGGCCGCGCAGTTCTGACAGCACCCAGTACGACGAGCGTACCAGCGCCGTGCTAGCTCCCATTGGATGCACCCCTTATTGATAGACTGACGGCGCTGGCACGGTGCTAGCTTGGCGCTGGCACAAGCGACTCTGGATGCAGCCTCGGCACAGAAACAAACTATTAAACACTGCATAAGGATATTTCAAATATAATTTTGAGTAACAGAATTGACGACCAAAATGACCATGAAGTGATTTTTACTACCAAATTTCAAAGCATTTCAACATAGAACAGGTTAAAGAAAACAGCTTTCTTGCGCGAAAAAATGTAAAAGAAGCAGGCATTGTAGTAAAAAAAGCAAGCCTGCGCATTCACATACAAAAGTAGAATCCGCTGTTATGACTTTATTGTGTATGTTGCCGCAAAGGTGAAGCAAAAAGAAAGGTAACCAGACATCAGCGCTAGCAGAATATTTTTGTCGTCACACTATAGACTTTTGCAAATAGTGCAATATACAGGGTGTCCCGAAAAAATGTGCCTACTGTGACTGTTAATAACTCTCTTGTCTTAAAATTTTTCGAAAAAGTTTAGGTACCATTTTGTAGAGCGAGATCCAACTTAGAGTAGTATGAAGCGGATCATCAGCCTTCATTACTGTAGGATTACGGTATGAACTTTCA